AAAATGAGAAAAAAACACAAAAAAGCATTGAGAAATGCAGTAATAGTGGTGAAACCCATCCCCATAATCATACAAAACTAAAAAATGGTGAAATTCTGTAATCAAGTGTGTTCTAAATATCAGCACATCAGGCAGGGACTTGGTGGCCTAGTTGGTAAAGGCAGCACTTCTAGTATAGTGTCTTAGCTTCAAGCTAAGGTTGCTGGTTCAAATCCTGCCCAAGTCAGTTTTTTCTGCTAACTGTCTGCAAAATGCATTGTTAATTTTAACAAAAAATGCAATTTAAGGCAGTGGGGAGAAAATACACTGAGTACGCTGAATACCGTACTTGTATCGTCCCAAATTCTGAGACAATACGGGCGTATTTTAAATTGTGTACTCGCCGGCCGAGTACAATGTACTTGTATCATACTTGTTGACTAGGGTGACACGACGTACTCGAGTACACATGTACTCAAAACAAAGTACAGTACAATGTAATGCGAGTACAATACGTGTATCGTAATGGGCGTATTTTAAATTGTGTACTCGCCGGCCGAGTACAATGTACTTGTATCGTACTTGTTGACTAGGGTGACACGACGTACTCGAGTACACATGTACTCAAAACAAAGTACAGTACAATGTAATGCAAGTACAATACGTGTATCGTAATGGTTGCACCGTTGATCATGGGTAACTGTAATAATATAATGCAAGTTTCATTCAATCAACATGTACCCAAGGGGGTTCAAACCCTCACATATACAAAAAAATTGAAGCCCATGATAAAGTGTTGATCAATTTTTTGAAAAATGGACTGTTTGCACTGATTATCCAGAAATGACAAATATTTGAAGACTTTAATTGCTGGACTATTTTTGATGAAAGCCTGAAGGTGGCTCTCAAGTTTGATGAATTCCAATTTTGATCCTTGTGAACCCCCCTGGTGAATTGTTTTTGTTAAAAATTCCATATTTCTGTCATCAGACATGAGGTTTTCATCTTGCCATATATCAAGCATGCAACTGAGTTCTAAACACATCAATTCATTGGGGTGAATAAAATGCATACCAGTCAGGATATTCTGAAGAATACCATAAACCATTTTCTTCATTTTAAATTCAAAAAGAAATTCACAGACATCAAGTTAGCAAAAACTCAACTCCTTGCAAGGCAGTCAAGAATCATTAGAGAAAATTGATGTAAATTATTCTGTACCATAACACATTCCAATGGCTTCAAGATTTTTTTTATTTTTTATTTTTTTGCAAGCCAAATTTATAATGAACCATTTATAGATGGCCAGAGGAAGGTGCATATTCATTTTGGATAAATTGTAGCACTGAATTATGGTCTTCAAAATTCCAAATTAGGAAAAAAAGAATGAGATTAAATATGAAAAATGAAACAAAGAAACTCACATTTTCATCTTGATTGAAGATCCCAAACTTGTCCATAAAACCGAAAATAATTTGGCCATAAAATTCATACAACAATGAAGAAACCTGTTATGAATTTCCGGTTGATTTGGTTGTCTTGTCTGTTTATAGCTGTGTTGCACTTGCTGTCACTCCTCCATGCAATTTTGCTTGAAAAGCTGGGCATGCAGGGTTTATTTCCAACCATGGAACAGTACATGGAGTGAACAGAGTGGCTACAATTCAAGCATTAATATGGCTCCCAGAAGAAATCCAGGCAAATCAGACAGTCTATTGTTTCTTGACTTCTCTCTCCAGTAAAACTATCTGCCTTTGTCAGGCTTGGGGTACTTGTGGTGGGGGATGGTAGTGCCTATAGCCATGACTATAGAAATTAGAAGAGCGGTGCCGTAGGTGAAAGAAGGAAGGTATCAGTTGAGACTTATGATGTGGCTCAGAGAATACTCGATGAGGCTTACGTTGTGGAACTCCTATCGTGCCAGGCGGTAGGCAGTTGGTTGAAGGGAAAGTGCTTTGAGGGCTGCCTTCAAGTGGGGTCCGGATAAATTGAGCTGTGATCTGAACAAGAAATGTGTTGCGGTTGGTTGGTTTTCTGAGAGGAGACAACAGAAATTGAGTTCTGTGGCGGTTGTTGAGCTTGAGGATCGGTGTGTATGAGGATCAGATGGATTAATAATGAAAAGATCAATCAGAATTGATGGGTCTATTTTGGATCAGATCAGAGTGCCATGCCTCCCCATCATCTCAGTTCAAACTGAAATGCCTCCCCATCATCTCAGTTCAAACTGAACTTTGACTCTGGGGAGTGACATGTCACAGACATGTCATCACATCCCTAACTACAACACAACTCAACCAAAAAAGAAAAACAAGACCACACTACACAACACTACACAACACTACACAACACAACACAACACAACACACACAACAGAACAAGACAGAACAAAACAAAACAAAACAAAACAAAATAATCAAGAGTGAAATAAACCAACATCCTGAGATGTCTTAGGACCAAGAAAATTAAACAAGACTGTCTTCTGAGTAAGTGACTTGAAAAAGATAATAAAGAATGATAAAATGATAGAAAATAAAATCAAGATGAATAAAAAAATAACATGAAGAGTAAATAATAAGAGGAAATGGAATAAAATAATAAAATGAGGAAACCATTGGACTGAGTGGGGATTTGAGGTGATAATATTGAAATCTTGAACCTTGAGGATATTGAAGAGTTGAAAGTTGAAATTTGAAATTCGAGCTTGAGGGGGCCTGTACCGTTTAGAACACCACAACGTGCGTCTTCCAGCAGCTTAAGATCTGGGGCAACCAACTTGATAAGACTCAGAGGTGGGAAGAGGTGTTAAAAATCTCAAGTTAACAGGCAAGTAACTTGAGCAGTTGTAAATAGTGGTGATTTTAGATATGGAGGCGTCATTTGGTCATGAAGATGAGGAGCAAAGATAATAGAGGTAGTGATAACAGTGAGGTTGGAAAACAAAGAAAATACTGGAGCCTTGTGATTAGGTAATGAAAGTGTCTATTACTAGAGGCTAACAAGTGCTAATCAGTAGGCGGATAGGTTTCTCTTGTAGTTTTGCGCTTTGTTGCTGAAGATACTAGGCTCTGGGTTATAATTTTACTGAGGAAGTAAAAGGGAATAGGACAGTTTTTTCTATGCGCACCTGTGCGTTGTCTCATTCTTATTTCTTTATTCTCTTATTTTTATTATTATCTGTCTTCCTTTGAGGGGGTTCAAACCTATTAACCCCTGACAGCCTTTCTCAAACCAACAAGACTGATGTTTTGGGGTGAATTGCCTGTGCTTGCAAGATCAGTTGGTTTTTGACTGGAAGTTTGTGAGGTTCTCCACCAAGGTATTCACTATCTGGTGATTCATCAGGAAAAAATGATGTGATTTTTTTGGGAAGGAATGCCAAAAAAATATAGTAATGATTGCAATTATGATTATCTTCATCTTTGCTATACAACTATTAGGGGGTTTCACAGTTGATTGAAAGTGACTTGCAAAACATTCTTAAAGTCACTCTCATGCATGGAGATTTTCAAAAATGTCTTTCTACTAGCCACATCTAACCTTCTAACCTTCTAATGAGTAATGGGAGCTGAACATGCATGCTTTGTTGTGCAGATTGACTTGCAAACCCTTTTTCAAGGCATTTGAACTCAACTCTGAATCCCACTATTGCAGTAGACAGCGATCTCATGGGAAAAAAAGTTTTGATGATTTGAGCTTGAATGCAATTACCACCAAAACTCAAAAACATCAAAACAACATTAGAGAATGTCCATCTGGAGAGATGCCATCCAGATTACAGTAAGACCCATGTACAACCTGTCCAGACTTTCTCCAATTTGTCAGACTAATTTTGAAATTCCTAGGACATTAAAATTGAAAATTAGGAAGCTATCTGCTGGATGGTACATGATTATACATATGAAATCTCCCAGAGAAAATTTGGGATTAATTCTAGTGAGAATTATGTCAGAAGCAGGACAAAGAAATTAAGCCTTTGGTTGTTCATGTTTTTTCTTATCATATTCATGCTATTCTTCAGCTTACCTGACACATCCATTAAGGCTTTTCATGACATAGTGAATAGCATCTACTCTTGGTACTTACCTGCTTCTGACTGGTAACAATGACATGCATCAATTGTGCATAGTGTTCAGCTCCAAAAAAATTTGTGTATACTCTGTGGCTTGTCTAATTAGTCAAGTTCAAGGGTTTTTGTCATTTGACAGTGTGCAATGGATGACTTCCCGTCGGCATTTATGACCCTCACAGAATTGGATTTACACCATGAAGGTCTTAATTTTTGGAAAAAAAATCTTTCTTCAGAAGCCTTGTAGTAAAGGTCTACGACCCTCCCAGAAGTTGATTTACACCCCTTAGATCTATTTTTTTCATTAAAAAAATATTTTTTCTGAAGCCTTCCATAAACAGCTGTAATGTGAGCTGATTAAAATCTTAATTGTGTTGTTAATTTAGGACTGAGTGAGGTCTAAAAAGCACTCTAAATCACGACGGGAATTCCTCCATTGGAGTGTTAATTTAGAACTGAGAGAGCTATAAAAAACACTCTAAACCGCGACAGGAAGTCCTCCAATGTCAAACCAAAACTGCTATTAAAAAGGGGTTTTTGAGACACGAGAAGATTGACTTTGGATGTCCTTCTCCTGGCATTGCCATCATGCATTAGTTTGGTCTTGATTCCCAATCCCATCAGGCATTCGTATTTAAAAGCAAGTGATTAAGCCTGGCCTCTTTAAATCTTTGCAGATCTGTTCTTATACATTCAATATCAATGGATTGGACTCGGAGTAGTTCCTTGGTTGGATTTGTTGCTGTTGTATTTCAAGAAAGTATGGAACTGTGTAGAGAGCAACTCAGTTGTCTCACATGTATGTATGTGGAAGTCCCTGGGGTTTTGAAGTTGGCAATTTTTTGTGAAATTTGTGATGGCAGTCTTGAGAGATGCCTGCATCTGCGAACTGCGATTAATGTTGCAACACCACTCGCTCAACTTGACCAGCAAACCAGCATAATCGAGCGAGATGGCAACCAATCAAACAAAAGTTTGGGTAGGTAAGAAACATCAACAATCTTAATCAAATTGGCATGGATGTGGAGCCCGGCGTAAAGGTTAGATACTCATTAGATTCTTCTTGATCTTTTCAAACCTTCCGACCCCGGCTGGCTGTGGACTAATCGCTCACCTTGGATCTCAAAGATGGGTCAGTTACATAGTACAAGGCTGTGCTGTCTAATTATACCGGAGACTGCTTAATTGACAAATTTTGACTTTTTTTGAAAATGTATAGCTGTTTCGAGTGGGTATTTTTTACCAGCACATCTGGGAAGCTTTATTCTCCCAGAATATTAGCTAACTTTTTCGTCTTCTCTTGTCCAACAGTCTGTTTCATTATGGCCATGCAAATGCGATCCGACAAAGCCGAGGTGAGCGAACATTCAACTTGTTGGCCTCTGTGCGTCTCGGTCTCAAAATCTGAAAACACTGTGTTGATGGTCCCCTTTTTGGCGAAAAAAAAAGCAATGGCTGATTGGCTAGTAGCAGGATGCCACTCGGATGAAGCGATTTCTGAGAACAAAGGACCGCCTGTGATCACGCAATCTGAAAGGTGTGCTTCTTCTTCCTCATTTTTCAACACCGAAAATGTGAAAACGGCTGTCTTGGGATAACTACTGATGTGATTATTGTATGTGGGGTGATAGAGTCAAGCTGCTCCAGGGATGTAGATGGGTGGATGAAGTGATTCCAGACGCACCCTATACGACTCAAGTCGAGTTCATTGCCAAATACGGGATCCACTTCGTTGCTCATGGGGATGACGTCACCACCGACGCCAACGGCTTGGACAGCTATCGACTGGTGAAGGAAGCCGGACTCTATCGCCAGTTTCCTCGTACACCTGGGGTCTCCACCACCGATGCACTGGCCCGGATCTTAAACCCATCGGAATCAAGCACATCCACCTCCGATTCAGAACCTGAGGGTTTGGCCATCAACATATCAGTTCTCAATGCGTTTTTGAACTCGGCCTCCTCGGGAACACCTCCCCCCTTGAAAGTCTTGAAATCAGCCGCTACCGAATCGTTTACGGTTCGTGAACCCACTATCCGCTCTTATGGGCATACCCTGGCTCTCGTCCGCCAACTAGAACGTCCAACGGTCTATCTCCATGGAACGTTTGATCTGTTTTCCTCTCGCGACCTTCTTCAATTCCAAAACGCCTGTCAAGACGGCAAATTGGACTTGCTTGTCGGAATTTGGAGTGAGGATGTGAGCCGCGTATCTTCTAACACCATAGAACGCTTCACGGCTTTTTTTCTTTGTTCCGATGCTAATCAGTTTTCCTCCATTTTTCTTGCCCTGCTTCCACGTCAGGATGTCAACGAAAAACTAGGAAAGAAATGTATTTGGAGTTTTCAGGAAAGGGCTCTTGGGGTGTTGCAATGCCGGGTGAGCTACCAACTGGATGTGTCATTTCTATCCAGACCCATCTGGACCTAAACGGAAGATTTGGATTGACCGTCTTTGTCTGTCACACCAATATCCAAAAAAGTACGTTACAGGCCTTGTAGTTCCAGCAATCCCGTCTACAGAGCTCCTCAAACATCAATCGGAGATCCCCGCCAACAAACTCTTGACAAGGTCGATCATTCAAGAGGCCAAGTTTTGCCCGGATTCCTCTGCCGAAACGATTGCTTCGATCTTAGACCGAAAAGAAGAATTCCTCGCCAGACAGGAGCGCAAGCTATCTAAATCAATCTTGGAAAATCAGTTGGAAAATCAGAATCCAATCAAATCACCCTGAAATCTATTGAAGCTATCATTCTGTCAAATGCATCCCACTAGTAAACAATGCTGAACACTTCACAAGCCATTTCTATCAAGGTTATAATTTTATGTTCATCTCGGGACACATTGTTAATGCCACTAACAATGACATTGACAAATATGAAAAATTTGAATTTATCTTATCTTGTGTCAGTCAAAACTTTTTTTTCCTCAATGAGCGTTGAAAAATGTAACAGATAATCAGATTGGCCTAGGACTTTCAAACAAGTCCCATGAGTTATTGCTGCTCGTGGAGCATCTTTTCTGGTTCTCCATGGTTTCCGTTCTCGATACAAGATATGGGCCTTACCTCGTGGCAAGGAACGCGGTTCAATGCGGAGGTTTGCTTTGCTTGTGTGACTTGAGTAGAACAGGCAACAGGAAATTGAACTGGTTCATCACCCCCCACAGAGGCCAAAAAAGATAGATGAACAAGTACCAAAGAACAAACTAAAAGCAAAATGGCTTGAGAAAATACTTATGTAGTTTTACTTTGGATAGATAAGCACATGTAAGGGGCAGAAACTAAGAACCTAGCCTGACTGCGTCTGGACATCACTCTTTACGGCATGAAGGAGAAGGGGATTAGCGCTGCCTAGGGGCCAAGGCTGGCCAAAGATATCCCTACCCGGCCCCGCCGCCTCGGGCTGTTGTCCGCCCGCGCGAAGTTGTATTATGTACCGAGTTTGCTGCAGTCCCCGTGGATTCCTCGGTGCCCGGCCCCCGTGGACCCAGCTCTACAAGTACAGCCTTTGAAAATTTATAAGCTGCACAGCACAAGCACTGCCAGTGCAGGACACCATCCATCCAAACCACACACCTCAATCCTCACGATGTCTTCAAGCTGGTCAAGTCTATCATCGGTCGATAAGGTTGAGTGTTTCCTTCAATCACTCTTGCTTGCATTTTGAATAACGCTGACAAATTCTCAAAAAAAAAAAAAACAGCAAGCATTCTATTCGATACTCGATGAGGTCAGTCAAAGTCCCTCGTATTAAATCATCAAAAGTTTCAGTAATGGGTCCTAAAATGTCAAAATGCCCGTCCATCAAGTGTGGTGACTGAATTAACCCTGCTTATTGGATGTAGTATTTTGAATCGAGGCCCCACCTTTTTCAACAACAGTCTAGTGGAACCAATGGCGACAATTTCTCAGCAATCTCGAATTTAGCCGGTGCAAACCCGAAGATGACAGCTTCCGCACTCAAATCCGCCGGAGTACCACCATCATTAGCCAAACCATCAAACGTATCTGCCGCCTCATCTGCCTCCAAACATCTTAATGGGATCGGTAGTAAGGTCGGTCAGCTATCCGGCAAATTCGGTAATCATTTCGCGAATTCAGAACAGACCCAGCAGCAACCTCAACCTCCTAATGCCTCATCAAAACCGGCCAATAGCTTTACCAACTTGAACAAACTTGCAGGTCCGTGTTTTCATTTCATTAATACCCTCGAAGAATTATGAACGATCGAATTTATTCAAACTCTGTTGTGTTTCTCAATCGGAAACAAACAACGTATCACTTACTTTTTCTTGATTCTACTGCGACTACCATAAATTTTCAGCCACACCGCCCATCAGCAACCAGAATTCTTTTGCTCCACCACCAACTCGTCGTGTAGCGCCTTCCACGAGGGCGTCATCGTACTCACAAGCCCCTCCCCCACCTGCTCCTCCAGCAAGGTCGAAACCGCATCAAGATGAAGAATTAGTGGAAGCTCTGTACGATTATGAGGGCACCAGTCAGGAAGACTTGTCTTTCAAAGAGCATCAAATCATCAAAGTCACCGAGCACAGTTTAGTAGTTTCATGCCTTTTTCACTGACAGGAGAAATGCTCATGTTTATCCAAACCACTGGCATTGATTGTTACTTGTCTCATTTTTTAACCCATCAAAACAAACAAATTCGGTTTTAACCTCGTCATCTATTGCGTTTCCGGTGGTCTACTCGACATTTTGGCTTGCTACTCCAGTCTCAGACGACTGGTGGAATGGACAGATTAATAACGGCCCTGTTGGAATGTTTCCCTCGTCTTACGTTAAGCCGATTTGATATCTTTCATTCTGTCTAATTCTGTGTTTTTGGTGTCTCAACATCCTCCTCTTATTTTCCCTGTTCATGTACCCACTTAACCATCCCTTGAGCTACTATGCGTAATCGCTTGCACATTAAATGAACTCTTCCCTCTTTATATTTCTTTTTTAGGATCCGATTTTCATTTTCTCATACCACCATCATATTGCCACATCCTTGTATTTTTTCATATCAACGCTGATCGTTTTTCTTACGCCAAGGGTGACCCTGTTGAAAGAACGTTTATAGATTTTTTTACTAGAATGTTCATGAGGTCAACATGTAGATTGTGTTTGAGCCGACACACTCATCCAAAACTTCATCCTCTTCAAGCTGGAGGAATCAAAGTGCACAGTAGAAACTAGAATAGGGTCGTGCTCTTGCTGAATTCTTGAAGTATTTTTATGGTAAATCAACTTTCGCATGAGCGGGATAAGTCTCGGCCAGGGCACATCTCTTGCCGCCGCCGGGAGGTTGAGAAATTTCATAGGTCTTGGGTCCGAATTAGCCTGAATCTCTAGCGACTCCTCGCCGAGACAAGACCGCGAGTCATGGGCACACGCCGTTTATCTATATCCTCCACCGACACGCATTGGGTGTGGCAGAGGTGGCTCCGACTGCATATGTACTCCGACGGACAGGAAGTGTGATCGGTCACAGTCATCTTTCTGATGTCCAACCGAGGTGCAAATTGCCTCGGGATTGCCGGAGCGATGTTTATCTGGCAGCTCCGGCAAAGGTGAACTCGGATCGGAAGGTCCATAAACAGGTGAAACAGGAATCCTCCATCAAACCATTCGTCAGGGCATGTATGACTTGATTTGAAGGTGACAAGTGTACGAGGCAAACCAAGCACTATCAGCGTCTCATCTCCAGAAAATTCATCCTACACGTCTTGAAACCTTTCTCTAGATGATACATGTACATGGCAGGTGTATCGAATCAACCTCCCATCTAGGAGAGAACGGGACGGGCCCATTTCGCTTTTATAAAACGTAGACTCCCAAAGCGCATTTCTTTCCACCTCTCAGACGGCACGCCAAGCAGCTAGCCATAGGCATTTAAATATATTTACTCATCACGCTCTTTACAAGAAATCACTCAAGAACAATGCCTGCTTTCAGCCGGCTTTCAACCACAAACTCCCAGCTTCCTAGAAGCACCAGGCTACGTGGCCTGGCCAGAACTCTCGTGTTGATGAGTGCTGCCATGGGACTCGTAGGGCTCGCCGATTCAGCATCTACGCACAAAATCGAAAACTCGCATCATACCCATCTCAATACCCCCCAACATTGGCAGGAGATGAAATTGGACGAATACTTATTGACTTATCCCAACGGCGAAGTTCTCACTCTATCTGTGAGCCTCTTATCTAGGATTTATGTTCTCGTATCTCCAACTGACTTATAACTCGACTTTATATCAATGCTTGGATCCTTATAGCAATACGCCGAGCAGCTCCCGCATCCCTTTCCTCTCCACTGTGGCATAGGAAAATTCAAGGATTGTCAGATCCCTTCTGTAAGTCTAGAGATAACCTAAGCCCATCAGTCACGTACGATTGAGCCGGCCATCATTACTTCTCTAGTACGCTTCACTTCGGGACGGCCCGGATTGGTGGATTGTTACTTCAACGATCAATTGGAACTACTACACAAACTTCCTGGCCAGCACCTTGGCCCACTCCGGGCAACTTGCAAAAGGTAAACTGCCCTCAAGATCCTTCTCCATCGGAAGCCAAGTACTGAAAAGTCCTTTGGTTACTATTCAGATATTATTCACCGCCTGCTTCATGACCTGTGAGCCACTTTCTACCACTTGGGCTAAATGCTTGAGATTGTCTCCGAAAAACTAAGTGCACAATTACGCCCAACAGTGTCTACGAGTACAACCCTGAAACAAGCCTCGGTGTGATGACAGAGGTGGACTTACTCCGAACCATCCTTTATCCCATTGAGCATGGGGGAAACCGTGACCACACTGTCAGTGACAGGACAGAAGTTCCTGATTGGATGGCTGCTATCAGTCCCATCGTAAGCCATTCCGTTATCCCTACTATAGACCATGCTGTGAATGTCGAACCAACTTATCAATTTTTTTCGTCCAGGCCACCAACACAAACCCCCAAATGGATTTGCGTCAAACACACCAAACCATCAAATCTACAAGAAACCCGAGAAATTTGGCATCTGGCTTGCAAACACCACCCTCAAATGTACCATTGATTGTGTATAATTCTGTAAGCCTTCCCACGGTGTTTCTGTGAGCCGGCTGCGTCACAGCTTGATGAGAGTTTCCTTATCCTCAAATAGGCTCAGCCCGTCGAAACAAATCTCCGGCAACTAAGCTCCCAGTTGGAGCACTTGTTGGCACAGTCTGTTGAGAATAAGGTTAACTCGCCCATCAGTCTTGACCCTGGCATCTATTCGGCCATTGCAGGAGGTCGATTTGTCGGTCCAAGTCTTGAAACTCCACGTCTAGCAAGCAACGCAGACGACATTATGCGATTGATTGGTGTATCAGCAGTCCTCAACCATCAGGTTTGTGGATTATATTGGGTTCCTCCGAAACTGATGTGACCGAATGGCTGACCTTCGATATCACTTTCAGAATTCAATGATTGTTATTAGAAAGGTTTGTGTCATTTTTATCATGGCATTTTCCAAGATAATTTGATGGAAAAGCACTCACACTCAGGAAACAATTCATCCACTAGTCATCCTGCTCCCTCTACCGAAAACAATTGAAGCAAGACGATGAAACCAGACTTCAGTTTTGCGCTTCTGACAGCACGTAAGATGATCTGCTCATCATAATCTGATGCCGTTCTTCAAGAATCTGACCAAATAACTTGACGCCCTTCTTGTAGGCTCATCGAAATCGTGAACGTGAAAGAAAACACAATCATCAAAGACATTTACAATGCTCACATAATTGAAAGCAAATATGGCTTCAAAACTTCCTTCTTGGCCTCTGAGGCTCTGCGCTGTCAACAAGCTAATCAAGAGACTGGACATCACCAAGAACGGGAAAACAACGATGACAGTCCATTTGACGTTTGCACCTTCGAGCTGCCCATCTGCAACCTTCAGGATGAATGTTAGTAATCACGACAGGATCTCTCTTTTTTTTCTAGCGGTGTTCCTTTTGAGTCGATTTTGTTGACGTGTCTCTCTCTCTCAATTTTGTTTTCAGACTATCAAGAATTGCTAGAGCATGGTAAAAGCATTGCCCGGATCTGTCGAGAAGATGTTGGCTTGTCGATTTAAACATCCCGTTCCCCTATGACTTTTATCAAAAGAGAAAGGTTTCGGGCACATGGTCTTACTGAACATCCCTTGTTTTGATTCCCCTTCGCTCTCTCGATACTTATCATTAATTGTATACACTTGTATGGCTGTTTTCTTTTCACTCGTTTGATCCCCTTCTTTTTGTCACTCTCTTGCACCCTCAACCTCATGTCAAACAGAATGCCCCCAAGTGGCACCGCGACCCATCAAAGATCTGTTTTTTTAGATCTCGTTGCTCAAGATTGTTCCTTTGGAATCACCACAAATACTCAATTCTATGGCATTGCAAACTTTGGAATTTCATGCATCTCAAGCTGCAAAGTTCTGTAAATCAAGTCATTCACGGTCTACAACCGCTGCTTGCAACTTCAGACAACTTAATGTGCGCTTTGGGATAAAACCCACCTTATAGGGATGCACAATCTTGATGCGCGTGGTGATAGGCCAAATTTGTCGGTACATATTTACATAGACACAAAGTCCCTTTCACTTTATGCATACAAGCACGCTTGTATGTAGCTTTGTCGTGATCATTTACAAATCGCTTCTTTCTTTTTTAAAACCAGAATTGGATGGAAAGTTTGGTTGGATGTTTTGCTTTTGATGATAACCACTTGTAGACGGACAGGCCGGATTTCGAGATGATGGTTGAAGTCGCATTCCGGCCAGAACACAAGCAGGTGAATTTCCATTTTTTGGTGGCAATTTCAGTAGTAGCTGTTTGTGTTCACAACGACAACAACAGAGACCTCAATTCTCACCTATCATGGAGGGTCGAATCCACGAAATTCATGAGATGCAATAGGGCTTGAAAGTCTCAAGGAAGATAAGACATCGGTCAAGAATAGTGCTGAGGCAACCTAATACTAATACAAATTCACTTTGGAACATGCAAGAAAAAAAAACGAGTTGGTTGTATGGAGTAAGAGACGAAAAAAGAAAAGGAGTGGATGAGTGGAACTTGATCGAGATTCGAGTGCATATTAACTGGGTTCAGAAGTAGACGAACAGATTACTGAGGATTCAGAGCAAGATGAAGGACAAGTCAAGAGGGACAAAAACTTGAGAGATGAATCGCAGGAAGATTGCTAGTGAGAGTGGATGGTTTCAGTGGTCATCAAATTGGTGGTAAGATCCTCATGATCATGGTAGTCAGTCACTGGCCTCCTTTCATGGTCTGTATCCTCCTCATCCTCATCCAGCCGCTTGGAGTCGACAGTCGATTTTTCCAAAGGAGAGTGCCATCAACTATACTTTAAGAAGCTGACTGATCAATTTTTTGTTGTCGTTCATGGCAACCAGTCTGCAGCTCACTGCAGGTTGATAGGCTTCATTGGCTTATTTCAATCCGATGGTGGTGGTGGACTAGGAGGTGATGGTTGCAGATGATTGAGGATGGATTGGTGGAGGCTGCTTGTCGGGCCAGCCAATGTTCTATATCTTATGTACGTTCTCGAGTTGGCTAGTCGATGACTATCGAGCTCCATTGCCCGAAAGCTTTTTTTGAAGCACTTATGTATCCTGTGGCTGTGGTACCGCGCCAGACGGGGAAGAAGTTGAGCGGATGTTGCCGGATGGAGAAGGACTCTTCTTGATGGTGTGGTGGTCATGCAACAGGCCTACACTCTTCTTTCACCAAGTCGACCGGCTAGTCGTCCTGTTTTCTTGATGCGCATCTAGAAATATGGGTTCCCCACCGTGGTTTTGCCACAGTCTACTTCGATCGGGATCCATCACCCCAGGCTCGGAAGCAGGCTTGGAAGTGTTGCCATAAGTCGTCCATGGTGGCTTGCCCGACGGACGCTACACTATCTAATGGGGCTGAGCGTTGTTCGTGAATGGTATTCCGGGACGGCGATGGCGATGGCGGGTGGAATGCGGCAGACACGGATGATGTCCTGGATCTGTCTTCTCACCTTTAGTAATAGATGGATGAGTGATCACTATTTATGGTCATCATTCTATTCCATCCCCAACTTCACCCCCATCCTTCAACCAGTGTACTGTACATATTTTGATAAGAGCAACATTTGTAAAAACCCCTTCCCATCCCTACCAATTCTTTACTTCAGCCCATTCTTGATAGCATCTGCCGGTCTACATAGATAACTCCTTTAAATCACCCAAACAGAATACAATCAAATGGCCTTGATGCAATTCCTCATCACCGCGCTGCTCGGCCTACAAGTACTAGCAGCAAGTCCCCCGACCAAAAAACCAGCCGATCCAACGGTTCCGCACTGCTTCAATGATCAGGAAGTCCAGAAGACGGAATGTCCCGCGTACGCTTCTGTTTCTTTCTCTCTTGCTTGAACATATACTTTATTGCCGGTACATCCCTTCCTTCCACTCTCGGCTGGCTATGAAGCAATCTATTTGGGAGGTCTGCTACATCGATCTGACGTGATTTGCGAACCTATCCCACCAGTGCGCTCGCCAAAATCATCTACGACAAGGACACCCTTAACAAATTAGAGACCGAGCTGTCTGTCGTCTCTGGAGAATGTCTCGTGAGCCATTTCTTTCTCCCAGTTCAACCGTGGTCATGAGCACCCGATCGACCCACTACGACAGAAATTATCGACCGTGCTGACTAGAAACCGCTCCTCTTACCAGATACGTGTCTACAATAAAAAGCAGGCTGTTGTGTGAGTGCTTGCCCTCAGTGCTGGGTGGCAACATTGATTTAAATGGAGTCTTTTGATCCTTTAGAACAAAAAAACAGATCGAGGAGACAGTTACAGGGATTGTAAAGTCTTGTAAGGTGTGTAAATATGTACTGCGTTCAAGAAGATTGATATGATGAAGCCCAATGACTGACCGAACCTCATGCTTTTTGATCTTCAGAGTGGTCATGCTAAAATCAAAGGCAACACAGAGGTCGCAATCTGGGTCACTCGACGCTTACAACGTAGAAACTGGTACACTCCATACGACCCTGATTTCCCACTAGAGAAGACCTACTGTTTCCATAGGGACGGAGTGGTTAAGGAAGACTGCTTAGAGTGAGGATTTGTCAAGATCATTTGCTTGCTTCGCTTGGCTTGCCTCTGACCAGAGATGTCTTCTTCGACTCGCTAGGGCATTCAACCAGCTTCCTGTAGACAAACAAGGCCAGCTGGTCAGTCCAGCTACCAAAAAGCTAGCACACTCACTTGACCTCAAATTCAAATCTTGCCGAGTAAGTCAACTTACAACTCCCGAGGCCACATCCACATTGAGAGTCCTTCTACCATGTGCCTTTTGAGACATCTGATCCTGACATTAAAACCAATTTGTTGTCATCAGGTAACTGCCTACACAACCGATGGAACAAATGTTCTTGTGTCAGTAATTGAACTCAGAATAGGTTGATTATAGTATAAGTATTGATACTGACTCCTCATCTCAATCAAACAGCAAAAAACAGGATGTCTCGGCCATCGTGACTGGTATGATAAACCACTGCAATTTGGAGGTGTGCAATTGTTTCTTCCGATTCCAGCCAACCAAAGTGCAAATAACTGACTAATTGATAAAATTCTTCTTCTGTCCAGTGGGGTACTGTGAACATCAAAGGCGCTGAGGGTCCCAACGGACATGTAACTATCACCAGTCGAAGTTACTGATCTCTTTTATCCTTATGGCTCTCAATTCCATGTGCTTTCATGGAGGGCTGTAACTTGTAGCCCTTCTTTACTGTGGAATATTCCTTCATTTTTTGTGGACTCATCAGACATAGAATGTGGACAAATTCAAAAGAACATCCTGTATATAGTGATAGGCCAGCAACACCAACTGTAGTACCAGTGCAATGCCAACAACACTCAGCATTATTTTCTGTTAAATGTCAGCAGTCTCATGCTAACACCAATGGCTCTTTCTAAAAAAACTTTGTGGAAACTATGCTGGTTAGGGGATTTTAGCACCCAGAAGCACTTCAGAAAGCTGATTACAGTTATACCAGACCTAGCACTGAGAATAGGAAGAGTGCAATAGAAAGGATTGCAATAGTCATCAAGCTCATAAGTTGAAAGATTTCTGAGTTTTGTGCCATATTTTAATACTTCAAGGAAACCCTAGGAATCTCCAGATGTCATATTCTCAGCTATGTGTATTGAATTCTGTACTATTCCTATCTCCCCTTTGACTGGAAAAAAAATAATAATCTTGTTATTCCTTTGCACTCTAAGTAGTTGGTATCTTGCAAGCTGGAACTTGACACACCTGAATCAAAACTGACACCAAGCTGCTGCCTTCCACTGTGAGAAAGGACGTTTTTTCCCAGTAGAGAAAGGTTTTATAAAACTTTCTGACCATCTTCTAGAGCCATTCTTCCCTTGTTATAAAAGGCTTATAAGTGAAAAAATTAAAAATTCCCGGGGAAAATGCCAGATAGCCAGGGACAAAGTCTGGCTTGAAAGGCTTTAGCCACTGCATGGTCCATCAAATCATCACTGCTGAACTCTTTTTCTTGAAAAGTAAAGTAGCTGGAGGGCCTCATGAGTTTTAAGTACACAACAAGATCAATAAAATTGGTTTTTATTTTTTGAAAACACACTATAAGGCCAGTCCATACAGTGGGATGCAATTTTGGAAAATGTGCATTTCTTCTTCTGCCTCCTAAACATAATTTGACAAGATAAGATTGAAATTGGGCACTTTTATTGTAAACATTGGCTTCTGATGATGATAAACTTTGATATAAACAAAATCTTGAGTAAGATAAATTCTGTCAAAAGAAATTGAAGTTTTATGTCCTACCCTAGAGGCCGTGGGCAGCTTTTCTGCCATCCAAGCACAGTTTTCCACTGTACCAGATCCATTATTATCAGATTTTTAAAAAATTAAAAAAAAAAGAAACAATTGGTTGGATTGAAATGATGTTTGAGATACCCTTCCTGTGATAGTAGAAAAAGCTGATACATAGTGTGAGGATAGCCCAGCAGGCAGCCTTCTTCTATTAGGGCCTGTACTGTGGGATTCAATTGCAAAAAATTTGCATTTTTTCGTTTCCCTGTCTTTTTTCTACCCACAAATTCCGAACAAGTTGAGAGATCAGTTATTGAGAATCTTCTTGGCCAACCACTTGCTGTTGGAAGTAAGATAAAAACTCTGAGAAAATGGATTTGTATGCCCTATGTTTGTTGGTACTGGCCCCATATTTTGGAAAATGAACTACTACTACCTTACGGCAACCTCATGTTTTAACACGCTTTTGGGGTGGTTGGCATGTTGAGGGTGGAGATGTATTTTTTTTGGGTAAATAGGGCAGAGTGAGGGGCTTGGTGGCCTAAATAGTGCTCTATGGGGTTTGCCAGGTTTGCCAGATGAGAGCCAGCGAAGGCGGTCTCTAGGACATTAGAATTTCAAGCCACATGGATGGATGAGCTTATGGGGCTGCCTTCGCCGGGACATGCATACAAAGTTCATTTCACTTTCGTTCGTTCGTTCGTTTAGGAGGGGATGGATGAGCACTCTGATTGACCGATAAGCATCCTCCTTCCGAATCATGATCATGTCAAGTGTTGAGACAGATGGGCAATGCTCGCTGTAGCAGATGTTGCACTTTACGGGCACTTTTGAGCCGATGTTTTGGATTTCTTGCTAGAGTATGTACTCCGACTCTGCAGGTATTTCCTGGTTGTGATTTCGGTTGTAAGTTTCCTCCACATCTCTCCTAATCGCTCATGTACTGGCTTATCATTAAGATATTCCCGATGATCAATCATCAGAATGACCGACCTGCCTCCTCATGAGCCAATCGAAGTGATCTCTTGTTTACATAAACCATCCTCGGCAGTGGTGAGGACAGGCTGAGCTGTGACATTGCTTATCAAAGACCGATACCGGGGTGGCTGGTCATGATATGCTTGCCATCTCCAGTTCGTAGTCCGAGCCATCTCTTCTTCTTCTTCTTCTTCTCATTCTTTCCCGATCCGGTTCTTGTTTCCTTTGGACTTGGATAGTGGTCGCAGAAGAAGTGTCAAGCTGGGCTGGCTCGAGCAGGGTCCGCTTTGTCCTCAGTCCAAGACTGTCCCCACCATATACACAAGAATACACCCTCACCGAAACTTAAACCAACCAACCCCCCCTGCAGGTGAGCTGTTTACCATAAAGAACCCTCCCCTTCTCCTTCTCCCTTCCTTCTCCCCCACATCTCTTATCTTTATCACCCCACTTACTTTCATTTAATACTCTCCCTACTACTATCACTACTACTGACTCATCCTACTACTACTACTACTACTACTACTATCTACTTCTTCACAGAACTTACTCAGCTCAACATGAACGAACGAACACCCATCATACCACCCTGCACAGCAACACCCTTGGTCCAGAACTTACTACCCTCGCACTTCGGCTCCACTGGCAAGGTCACCCTGCTCTCCACCCCACGAGGAGGGCCACTCCCAGAACATACCCCACAGAGGAAACTACGACTATTCGCACTCCAACTAGGCTCCCACCTCATCTCAAACACCATCCTCGTCATCATCGTCCTCTACGCCCTACTCAAAAGACTATCCACCAAACTCAGCTCATCTCTCTCCAACTTCATCAACTCACTCTGTCAGTCAACCGAACAACAACAACAGCAACAACAGAAACGCACCCGAAAGTTCTCCCGTTCATGGGACCGGCCCGAAAAATTCAAAAACGAGAAGGTCACAAAGGATTTCCACTACTATGCCAAACAGGCTGGCTTCGAGATCATCGAACAAACTGTCGAAACCCTCGACGGCTACTTCCTCCAAGTCTGGAAGATCGTCAAACCCGGCCAGGAACGTTTCACACTCAAGGATGGTAAAGGCGGCTATCCTGTGCTCATGCAACACGGTAAGCTTCTCTCACTCAAATAATCATCATCACTTCAGCAACTCACACTCTTTTCTTTAAACATATACAGGTCTCTTTCAAAGCTCTGGAAGTTTCATCACATCCGAGGAACGTAGTCTGGCGTTCTGGCTTGCCGAGCATGGGTACGTCTGTTCTTCAACATCTTGGAAAATATCATCTACTGACCCCCCCCAAAAAACATCGCAGTGGCTATCAAGTTTATCTAGGTAACAATCGTGGGATCTTCAACATGGGTCATCGGAAGTTGAAACGAAGTGACCCCAGATTTTGGGGTAAGCTCATCAAATCTCTTTATAGGAAGAGCTCGTCCCCCAGAGACTGACATTCTGCCTCTTCCTCTAGATTACAACATCAAGGAATTGGCATTATACGATTTACCGGCACTGGTCGACCACGTCTTGAAGGATACCGGCCACTCCAAGTTAGCCTTCATCGGCCATTCTCAAGGAAATGCGACGATGTTTTGTTCCCTAGCCACGGGGATGGTCCCAGAATTAGGGAGCAAGCTGTCTTGTTTTGTCGCCCTAGCCCCTGCGGTATATGCGGGGCCATTGACGGAAGGATTCCCGTTTGGAGCCCTCAAGTCGATGCGATGGCGGACGTGGAGACGATTCTTTGGGATCCTCGACTTCCTCCCTATCATGTCTCTCTGTGTCGACTACCTTCCCTCCTCGATTTTTGGCTTCCTCGGATACCAGATGTTTGCCTTCCTCTTCAGTTGGACCGACCGCAACTGGCTCCTCAGACGCAAACTTAAGATGTTCAGATTCACTCCTTCTCCCGTCTCCTCCGCTGGCATCTTCTGGTGGACTGGTTACCAGGGGTTCTCTACTCGAGGTTGTGTCTTGGATCCTGAAGTCGAAAGATGGTGGGATTCAAAGTTCCCACCCTTAGCACTCTACCAGTTTGTCATCATCATCTGTCTATCTATGTTTCTTTTCATCAAGAGAGCTTTTATCCTAATCTTTCTTCTTCTTGATTATAGTGGTGGAAAGGATTTCTTGGTCTTAGCCGAACCCCTGATCAAACGAATAGAAACCCACGAGAAGTCGGTAGACTTGATCAGGAACTTCAAGCTCGAAGACGGCGAACATTGCGATACGTTTTGGCATGCCGATGCCGTCGAGATATGCTTCCACCTCATCCTTGGTTAGTTCAATCTCAAACGATACGAACAAGTGTCAATCAGGAACTGATGAACGCGTCAAATTTTTTCTAGAGGATATCGAGAAGACCAGAAAAGACAAGGCTCCAGAAGTGACAGAGGTGATCGTGAGCTCGGAAGCCGAAGGATCAGAAGTGGTTGCGATAGTCAAGCCGGGCCCAAACAACCGACTGCAAGAGATCTTATGTGAGCCAAGCTCGTGCGACTCCAAGACGCGAGAACAGATCATGAACGGGATCCTGAGTGGGCGGATTGCCGAGCTCGGGCACCGGTTCCATAACCTTGCACAGGAGGACACGGTGGATAACCAACAAACTGGAACGCCTGGAACGCTCGCCCAAGCTTCCTCTCCCGAGAACCTGCCCGTCGTCGATGGAAGCCTCTTCATGGATGACCGCGATCGGTTTCAGGAACCCGTCATGCACCTCACTCGCGACGTCTGATCTTTTGTTTTTCTTCTTCCCTTCCTTCTTGCATCCTTCGATTCTCTCTCTCTCTCTCTCTCTCTTTTTCATATCAAACATTGCTTATCTTCTCGCATTCTTACTCATGATTGTACTATCGAGTTGCGTTTTTGTTCTTTCTTTGATACCATCATCTATTTATCATTTTCATTTCGTCTTTGTTGTCGTTTTTTCTTTCTCTCTTTCTGTATGTTTTAGTTTGCATCTCATCGGTCACTTCTTCCACAAAAAAGGAATCCTCGTCATCCTTTCTCTCTCAAACACACACGTTGCAATTTCGTGTTTTTTTTTTTTTTCGTCTTTCGTTTTGTTCCTTTGATCGCGCAATCTGCATTCATTTTTCTATAAACTAATTATCTTAACCCTAATCCTTTTTTTTCAATCTGACAATCAAAAAAAAAACAATCTGTCACCATTATTTTCTCTCTTTCTTTTGTTGTTTTCCATCATCGTTAACTTACACATTACATCCTCTCATCATTGCCCACCATCTTGTAGCACGTGTAAATCAGTTTTATGGGACACATAGGTACATTCAATTATCTCGACCCAAATTTAACACAGGAACTTAGCCTAAGATCCTGGTCGACGTATGTACCAGACTCAGAGAGTCCGGATATTCTTACTGGTCAAGACCGGGTGTGTATCCATGATCGATCATGGGCATGCAAGGAGGAGCAACGGGGTCTGGCCCGAGACCAAGTGGCTCTGAATGTCATTGCCAATTCGTCTTCCAAACAATTTTTTTTTCCAAATGAGAAACAAGTAGAATTATTACAAATAGATAGAAAAAAAAAAACACTAAATGCTATTCTATTAGATGGATGAACGTCGGGAGAATCAACTGAAGACGATTTTCTTGCCGACTGTTTCGGGGTTTTTGACGATCCCGGTTGGGGCACGTTGAGCGTTAGCCAGGGCAGCGCCGGGTTTCTGTCTTCCCTTGAACTCTTTCTTGACTTTCCTGACGGGCTCTTCGGCGGCTGGTGGAGGAGCGATGATTGGCGGTGGTGCAAAGGGAGCGGTGGGCTGATGGGAGCGGGTGGATGAGGGATTATTAGGATGGGTGCGGGGCCGGGGCTCGATGGACGGCGGCGGCCTTCTGGCCAGATGTGGGGCTTCGTCGCGTTGGAACCGGTCCGGTCGGCCGGTCGGCCCTGCCGAACCGAGGTATCCCCGCTTAGACTGCTGCTGCTGATGCATCGACCGCACCGAGCCGCCGCCCCGCTTGACGGCCTCCACGGAGGCATATTCAACCGTCAGGTTCCGGCCGTCCAAGCGGTGGTTCTTCAGATTCACTAGCACATTCGTCGCTTGGTCGATCGTCTCGAAATCCACAAACGCAAACCTGTCATCACACACACACACCACATAGCACTATTGTCAGTTTTTCAACTTCGGAATTTATCGCTCTGACCCTCAATGACTCACCCTTTACATTTTCCAGTATCTTCAAACGTGCCCATTCGGACTTTGCGGATCCCAACCTGCGCCGAACGAGTATCTGGTTTGGCCCTCCCTCTTCCCTCTTCCTCTTCCTCCTCCTCCTCCTCCTCGTCTTCTTCCTCCTCCTCCTGGTCTTTTCCATTCATCTTGATTGTGTTTTTCTTAGGCTTCCATACTTGTTGAGCTTGGTGATGAGCATGTAACATCGACACTATACCTTCACTCTAGAAAGATAGAATACAGATCAATTTATCAGCCCAAACAAGAAAAGAAAAAGAGAATGAAAAATGATTAGACTGACGGTTGTTTCGAAGCCCAAGTTGCCGAAGTAAATACAGGGGGCGGGAGGTTGTTTCTGGCGATCGAGGATCTTGCGAACAGATTTACTGACAGTGGGGGGAGGGATGGAAGCGGAAGGGGTAGTTGAATTGGAGGAGGGAGTAGTTGATGAGGCGGGGATAGCGGAGGGACGGCCGGAGTAATCGGAGGAGCGTTTGATGAGCAGCTTGCGGCCTCCGAGCAGACACTCGGACTTCTCGAGGGCCGCGTCGACGGCCTCGGCGCTGTCGAAGTCCACATACGCAAACCCGCTATTCGCCTCGTGCGCCCGCTTGCCTGCCGGCATGTTCAGCCGGGTCACCTTCCCTGCTGGCTCGAAGAACCGCGCTAGCTCCTGGGCGGTCGTCGTGAATAGTAGGTTGCCCACCCAGACACCGTGCTTGGATCTTGTGGCCGTCGTGAAGATCGATTCCACCTTTCGAGAACTCGTCACCGCCTCCCTTGTTTGGTTCCCCAATTTCGTTTCACTCTTTTGAGCCGGATTTCTCTCTTCAGGCTTCTTCGTTTCGTCTTTCCTGGGAGAAATGGTTTCGTTCGCGAGTTCAAATTTCCGTGTCCATTTTCTGGGTCACGCCATCATCATCATTATCATCTTCATTATCTTCATCACATTTCGATTTGTTGGGGATAATTGTTGAAGTGCATTCTTCGGCTGCTTCTTCTCTGGCGATTATTTCGGCCGCTTTCTTCTTTTTCTTCTTCTTCTCTTTCTTAGGTAGCTCGGCGTTTATTTGAGCAGCAGATACTGATGATTGATCGGCAGCATCGATCGACTCGTCCCTGTCATCCTGCACATTAATTTTTTTTTTTTTTTTCCATTGAGTCAGCTGTTGTATGCGAAGAGGACATCGTCGGTTGAAAAGTCACACTACTCACTGTTTCTTTCTTCTCAGGTTCGTCTTGAACTTTTGCGGAGCTCTTTCTTTTCCGTTTGGTTTTCGTCCGACTGTCGTCCTCCGTCTGCTGATGTTTTTCTTGACTTATTACCGTCGATCGAGACATTTTGATTTCTTCTGATGTTTTTTTTTATATTTATGTAAGTGTGAGTGCGTATGTCTCTCTCCAAAGAACCCACTTTTGATTATTTGTGGGATTCCAAATTGAATATTCAATTTGGAGGGGAGTCGTTTGATTAAGAAACAAACCCCAAACTCAACAGAGACTTTGGGCCCTGGGGGGGGGGGGGGGGGGGGGTAATCACGATTTGGGACCCCAGTATGCCCATATATGATAGTTAGGTGCAAAATGTATGGATTTCCGGTGAAATTCCAAATGATACACAGCAAAAATGTACAAATGGCCTGTTTTCCTGGGTTAGTCACCCAGAATGAATGAATTGTGTATGAGGATTGACATGTTTATTTCTTTTTTTTTAGGGTTTTTCCCCTTTTGAAGCATGGTGACTCCCAGTGGTTAGAACTTGCCCCCCCCCCCCCAAAAAAAAGAAAAAGAAAAAGCTGGCTAAATTTGGGGTCCAACTGGAGGACTTCCCGCGGCCATTTAGAGTGCTTTTTAAGCCCTCCCCAGTCCTCAATTAACACCTCCATCATAATTCCAACCAGCTCACATGAGAGCTATCTTCACAAGGCTTGTGGAAAAATAATTTTTTATACCAAAAATTAATTATTTAATATCTAGGGGGTGTAAATTAAATTCTGGGAGGGTTGTAAAACCGCGACGGGAAGTCATCCACTCTCAAAACTCCACTGGGTCTTGTGGGAACAACTCCCAAAAATTGACCAAGAATGGCTCTGATTGATGCAATGTTTTGCAAGAGATTGAGTTGGAACTCCAATTCTTGGTACTTGGGAGTCTTTTAAACAAGATCCTGTATTTATTACTAGAATCCAATCCAAATTTCTCCTTTTTTTTTTCTTCCACCTGACAGGCAAAGGTGCATGCAGCCAAGGGTGGAAGCACTACACTAGACCAAAAAAACCCAGAGCCTGAAAGCTTCAAACATCCACCTGGGTTCATACAACAAGAATCTACTTGCCTTGACACTCCAAGCACAACCCCAGTTTTGAACAAAGGCAGGGTGACTCACTATGTGCACTGGTCTCAAAAGCATTGGCTCCTCAACCTGCAAAGGGTCACTGTAAGTTAACTCCCATAATCTTATCTTTGGCTGATGATGCTCAAAACAGCACAGAATCCAGAAATTAGCAAGAGGATACTGTATTGAAAGTAGACAAGGAGAATTCACTCATTTTTCCTCCAACTCCATTGCCCCCATCCCCAGCCTGTGTATAGATTTTTACTTGTTCAGTTTTTCCAAAGTGTAACAAAGGCCACAAGCACCCATAGGTGTGAGGTGCTGGCAGGACTTATGCCTAACTGGCACAATTTTGCATGAGGATATCTCAAAAATACCCGTAGGATTTCTAAAATTACAATTTTCAAATCATCCTTGTGGATACCATAGTTTCTATTCTACTCCAGGGGCCAGATGTCTGCTAGCATTCTCTTAACATGCCTGTCTGTTCAGTTTTTTTGCCAATTTTTTTGTTCAATCTTTACAATTTTTTGAAATAAGGGTCTCATTCTATTTTAACCAGACCTTTACTATTTTCTCTGTTTGTAATTACTTTTTTAATTAATCATTTGACTGTTGAAATATAATACTCAAATCATCACATACAAGATAAGTAATGAAATAACTGAGAGGAAGACAGAGTGAGAAGAAGAGAGAGATTGACAGCTGAGAAAAAAAAAAGACAAACTCAGAAAAATAAAACCCTCCAATATGGGGTATCAAATATAGGAAATCCACCATCAGAAACCAGTTGCTTTTCCAAAAACTTTTTTTTGCATAAATTGGCCACAAAAGGGGTTAAATGGATAACCAACATGTTTAAAAAGGGGTGGATTTTTTCAAACCAGTCAATTAAATAATGGTGGATTTGGTTATATTTGATACCCCCTAATAACAATACATTGCTGGTTCCCTTGGTGTTGGTTTTTTAGGCATCAGATCTTCAAAGCAACCCAAACATCTCTGATAAAGAATAAATCACCTAATATTTTCAAACTGATGTACAACAAGCAATTGTTGGTGATTTTCTACCCTGCTAGTGTCTTCTAGTTAGTCCCCGACTAAAAAAAATCCACTTTTTTGCAGTAGTTTTAAAGTAGATAGTGATCCAGTTTGGGTTCCCTTGTATTTTCATCAAACTGCAATCCACATGTTGATACATACTCATGAGAGTGAGCTGTATGCAGAATTGGGATGAATGGAGGACTGGGGGAAGGAAAAAAAAATGGATAACAGCTGAAAAGTAAAAAAGGAGATATGAGGGAGAGTTATATTGGAGATCCCAAAGGTAAAAAATAAATAGGAAGGGTACAAAAAAAGAGTAAAGGTGACAATTGGGTTTATGCCAGTAAGTGGCCAAACACTAGAAAAACTGTTGGATCGCACTGTGAAAATGTGATGTTACCACACATTTTCACAATGCGATCCAACAGTTTTTCTAGTGAAACAAACATCTCAGACCCCACATTTTGGGAATCTTGATTGGGAATTATGGAGATGGAATCCAATAACTCTGAGATTTCAGGATCAACAGCAATATGCATCTTCTGAAATTGACAAATTTCAGAAGGAAGTCCTTGGACACATCCACTATTTTCAGGTCTGCCAGATTTTCTGTGTCATGCATGAGCTTCAAAAGCTTATATATGGAATTCAAGTCTGATGGATAGTATTGGTGTATAGTCTATTCCAAAAGATTTATAAACATTGCACTCCCTTTGCTTAATAATGTTGCAATAAGCCATTTGAAATTCCTCAGAAAACCTTGTTGAAGGAACTTCACAAACATATCAGCAATGATAAGGACATCAATGTTAAGGACATGAGCATCAGCAATGTTGAGGACATCAACACCAAAGAAAAGAAGAGAAAAGTAGAACATTGGAGGTTGAAGCAACCCCTGGAATACAGAACAGCAACCCAAGCATTATGACTATTGTACATATTATCAATTCAGCCACCCAAAAAACTAATTTCAGCATTACACGGACACCCCATATTCCAGATCAGGTTGGTCTGTCTGGATCAACCGTCGTCCCCTGAGGAAAAGAAAGAGAGAATAAATAAATAAATAAACGGAACTACATGAGCGGTAGGGTTGTACATCATTTCTCCAAAAGATGGGACTCGAAAAAAAAAAAAAAAAAAACTAAGCATAGGATATGTTGCCTCATGATCAAGCATCTGATCACCTTATATAAGTGCCATCAACCCCGCCCCCCAAAAAAAATAAAATTTGTCCAGAGGTCGGTGTGAGAGGTATATAATGATCCATCTCACTTAAGGTCCCAATTACGAATCTGAAAACAAGTGAGCAGAGCAGATTTGGATGATTGAGAAAAGGAAGACCAGATGCCAGATCATGAGAAAGAGGCTGAGAAGACGCACGACTTGGATTTGGAGGGGCTTAACATCGACATCAGAGACGAGATTAGACAACGGAAAGACGCCAAGTTCTTTGAGAGAGGATGACCAATTGATCTGGACGATCCGACCGTCGAGGAGGCCGTCGAGTTTCCGAGTCTGTCCGCCACGAGTCTGGGCACGCTTGAGGGAGGAGGCCTCGCTGAGCCAGACCTTGTCTCCAATGATCAGTTTCCAACTGGCATGTTGGTCCAACTTGAGCCGCTCGATCACCTGGCGGAGGGTCGAGTTATCGTTGAGTCCCGAGCTCGAGCTCGGGATCCGTTGCGGCCCTTGGCCGGAGGCTGACTTGAACTTCATGTCGTGGACGTAGATCTGGTACACCGACCGGACTGTCCGCCCAGCAGATAGAGACGGAGCGGACTTGTCCGGGCTCATACTGTTCGTCTTCGTCGGGCTCAAACTCTTGGCCTTCGTCGGCCCACAACTCTTACTCGGACTGTCGCCTTTCTCCGGGTCCAAACTGTTGGCAGGGCCAAAGCTCTGGGAGGAACTGCGACTGATGGCCGACTGGCTTGGTTCGTCAACCAGTTCAGAGGAATCTTCTTGGGCGTTCAGGTTTGTCGAGTTAGTGGAGGAGCTGGTACAATTGGAGGATTGATTGGAAGGAGAGGGAGGGATGTTGGATTCTTTGGGCGAGAGGTTCGGAGAAGATTTGGGTTGGGTGCGTTTGCGTTTGAGATAAGCCGGTGCAACCAAGCCAGGTGAGGGGGGGATGACAACTTGGACTCGCTGTGAGATGTGATGCTTTCGAGGGAGGGGCGAGAATGAGTGATCGGCGTGATGGTGGGAAGAGGAGCTGTCATCACTGTGGGCTTGCTTGCCTCTACGAATCTCATCGCGGATGATAGCTGATTGATGAACTCGCTCATCGTCGTCACTAGGAAGATCAAAGCGGACTGGAGCGCTCTTGCGTTTGGGACGTGAAGAGGCGAACCGCCGATTGGCTAGCCCGCCCATACTATGCCGAGTGGAGATCCTGCGTGGTGGAAGCTGCTCGAGCTTCACTTTTCGTGAGTGAGACTGACGAGAGTCGGCCTTGTTCTTCTTGCCTCGTGCTTTCCTGGAGGATGAGGCAAAGTCGTCGGAGTCATCCGAGGAGGAGGATGACCCATCGCCATCGAAAGACGAGTCGGATTCACTTGAAAGGTAGTGTCTGAAAGCAATTTTCCTGAAGGCGGCAATATGACTCCTAACGCGAGGTACTTGAGGGGACGATAGCTGTTGATGATTTGTAGATTGATCAAGTTCTTCCAGGTTTGGTTTGGGTTCTTCAGAAGAAGTAGATGGCGATCGGTAAGGGAACTCCAGGGCTTGCCTCCCAGGTGAGGTATGATTTTCCTGAGTCTGAAGCCGTGGGTCTGCCTCAAACTGTTGGGAAAAACTGTGTTCGATTTGGTGGGTAGATGGTAGCTGTATGAGATGGTGGGAGGCAGATTGCTCTACTGGAAGCGAAGTGAAACGTGTTCTGGAACTGAACAAACTTCGAGTGCCCGACTGGAGGTGGAATGATTCTGTAAAGTGTTGATGGCTTCCTTGAGTGTTCTGAGGAGATAATTCTAGTGAAGAAGCCTGGGTGAAGAAAGAATTCTGGGTGCCATGGGTGATCGGGTTGAATTGGGATGGTCGAATGATTTGAGAGGATGAACCTTGTAGAATGCTTTGGTGGCCTGAATGAATCGGTTGATCGGTTAAGATTCTTCTGGATGGATGATCATGAAGCTGATGGTTTGATGATGGAAAGTTTGGTTGAGAAGCCAGACGGTTCATGAAGCTATGAGCGGAAGGCTCCAATCGCAACTGGGGCTGTGGCCTGGCACACAAACGGATGCTGGTAGAGAAAGAGATGATGGTGAGTTGGAAAGATAGATATCAGCGAGGGAGTGGGTCGACAAACGTTACGAGTTGATCCTGTTGTTGGGAAAAATTGGGAGATTATTTAGCTGAGTTCGGAGGTTGATGGTAAGGCTAATGAAATGTTGTATACATACCTGAGGGATGATACTGGATGGCTCGGTGGGGGGTAATCTACAGCCTGGTGATAAGCAATTAGTCCAAAATAAAAGCCTTTGATGGATGTATATACTTTTGCTAGATATGTACATACCATCGGGAAGCTCCAAGACTAGCCGATGGGAAGGGTTGGGTGGTTGGATCAAGTCGGCGAATTCGGTTGAGTCTGCTTCGTTGAGAATAGTCTGGTTGATCTTTGAGATGAGTTGATCGATGGTCGAGTGCTGAGTGATGCTGATGGCGACCTTGAGCGGGGGCAAGGGCGGGGTGGTTAGGAAGCGACATATCCTAGTTTGATGGGTTGGTTGTTGAGTGTCTGGACTGGCTGACATGTTCTTCAGTGTTTTGTATTGTTGGTGAGTGGTTTTTGGAAGTGAGGCTGTGTTGATGCTTGTCGGTGGGGTTGTTCGTTCGGTCACAAGATGGCGTGTTGAGCAGATCGATCGAGGTCAAATAGTTTGTCCTGCGAGGTCGAGGGTTGCTGGCTTTTGTTCGATGGGGGGGTTGGAGTGGTGTGTTTGCGGTGAGTGTGGTTGGAAAAGAGTCAGCCTGCGGGGTACATATGGTAATGTATGAAATATCTGAGTAATGGCCCTGATTATAAACCAACTTTTTGAATTTTGGCTTTTTTTTATTTGAAAAGTACAAGGGCATAGCTCCCGTTTTTGGGGTCAGAGAGGGCATTCAAATAAAAGGGGGAACAGGATCAAATATTGAAGTATTTTAATTTTGAATTTTTCTGAGCAAAATACTGATAAAGATAGCATCAAAATGATCAGTATAATATAATACACGTGAAAGAGAATTTGAAACAGTTTTGGTTTTTTTCATGATCAAGTCCCTTGAAGGTATATATGAGAACCTTGTGAAGATATGGAAATGGTGAAAAGAAAGACCAGTTCCAATGTAGCATACACCCCTGAAAATCAATCTTATGTATAGGAGCTGTTTTTGTAAGCATTTGAAACAGCCTAATTAGCTCTGTTGTGAAGGGGTTTTTTTGTATAGTTCTGTTGTATTGATTCTTACCTCACATTAAATTTATTTTGTATTTTTACCTGAATCACATTTTAATGGGTGTGTATTCCAAAAAATCAGTTCCCAATAACTTAGAAAATTGCCACCAAGAAAACATGTACCAAACTGGAAGCAGCCAAAAGGTGGGCTACTCCCAATGTAGCTTGTTTTATAACTACAAAAAACACCAAAGTACAAAATTCTGCACATTCACTGTGAAATGCGCACATTGAAAGCATTGGGGTTTTTAAATTAAATGTTAAGTGAAATCTAAGGAAGAAACAAAGTTTAAAAGTTGTCTCTGAAATAAAGCTGAGAGCATTTTCTTAAGATTTTTTGCATGAATAAAAAGAATGTACTTATGTCAAGTTGCAGATGGCATAAACCAACCCTGCCCTGACACAGTGTTACTTACTTTTATTACAATTTTGAACTTGCATGGGTTTGTCAAGTTCAAAATTAAAAGAACCAAGTATTTGGTCAAGTGGTTCAATGGCTTTGATTCTTAAATGTATATTATCCAGCAGGCACCACATACATAAAGTCATACTTCAACCCATAGCTATGGGTTTAAGTATGAATATTAATGAGATTATACTACCTCTCTCACCCTTAAATTCTAATTCCAGCACGATAATGAATAAGAATAAAAACAACAGTTTTTGACTTGGCTGAAAAAGAGCAACATGTTAGATAAATAAAGGAGAAACAGAGAGATGTTGAGTGAAATTCTAACACATAGCAAGCCAGTATTATATTAAACATTGATTAAAAAATGGGTCTTAGCTAATCGACTCCCAAAAAGTGGAGGATTGACTCTCAAACGTCCAGTGAGGACTATCCTGGGACGTCTCAAATCTCCTATTTTTTTCTCTAAAAGTTTGGGAGTCAATCCTTCTAAAACCATTGGGTTTTCTTGGGAGTTGAATATACTATAAAAATATTTTGGGGGTTTGGGAGTCAAATCTCTAAAATTCTCATGGTTGTTTGGGAGTTGGAGACCCAAATCTGACTCCTGCGCAGTTGTTTGGGAGTCAGA